CAATTGGCAGAGAGAGGGGGAAAGAAAGCCATGCAAATGTAACCAGAGCTTGGCTCAGGCTGCGGGCAACAGGGGACAATGATTTCCTCCCAGATCTTTGCCCATAGTGTCCAGTTTTCCTACCACAAGCCCATGTTGCTTTCCTAATCAGAAAAAGATCTGTGACTGACACAACTATATTCCTAAGTCCAATGTTGCCGTTTCTAGGTGCCGTTGAGTCGTCTCCGACTCATTTGACCCCGTGAACAACAGAACGGAACACGGCCCGGTCTCGCGCCAGCCTCGCAGTCCTTGCCATGCCTGAGCCCATCGTCCGAGCCCCTGCGTCAATCCATCTCGTTGAGGGCCTTCCCCTTTTTTGCCGACCCTCCACTTTACCAAGCATGAATGAATGAAAAGAACAAAGTGGATTACTGACAATACAGTAAAACTTGTGAAAAGCCAGAACCCGTGTAAGGCAGAAACCTGGCAGAGAAGGAAAACTCAAATATTTTCAACTCAGCAGAGACTGATAGAAAAGGACCTCTGATGGTTAAGACATTTGGCTGCTAACTAAAAGGTTGGTGGTTCAAACGCCCAGCTGCTCCGCGGAAGAAAGATGAGGCAGTCTGCTTCCATAAAGATATTCAGCCTTGGAAACCCGTTGGTCAGAGTCTACTCGAAGGCACTGAGTTTGGTTTGGTTTTGCACCATCGAAGGTGGGAACCTTATGAGACCCGAAGAAACAAGGCAGCCCGTTGAGTTTCAGCTGTCATGGGTTTTGCTGTTTACATTCTGAGTTTAACATAAGCAACAGAAATCAGATCTTTCCAGAAAAGTTATTTTATGAAGGTACTAAAAAGAGACAGTTCACACGTCTCTAGCATCTTACTCTTGAGAGAAACGTTTTCAAACAGAAAACGAAAGTGCGTGGCTTTGCTCTGTGAAAGTTCCTGCAGGCGTGACATAGCCACAGCCACCCTTTAGAGAGGGTCACGGGAGGCCTGGTGGCACAGTGGCTAAGTGCTCGGCTGCAAACCGAAAGGGCCACGGTTTGAACCCACCAGCTGCCCCGCGGGAGAAGGCTGTAGCCATCAGCTCCGGTAAAGTGGGCAGCCTTGGCCAACCCTGCAGGGTAGCTCTACACTGCCCTAGGAGTCAGAACGTCGAGACGGCAATGGGGTTTGGTTTTCTGGGCTGGGCACTTTCCTTTCATTTTAAATCTGGGAAACTGAGGCTTGGAGGAGGGAAGGTAAGAGGCCCAGGGCCCACAGCAGCTTCCAGGCCTCCAATCCCGGGCCCTTCATGCCAGGAGCCATTTTCCTCAGAGAGTCAATGTACTTCCTGTTATCCGAATGTTTTAAATTTTCCATGACTGAAGGAGGTGCCAGGGGGCAGGGTGGAGCCACACCGAGTGGGTGTCGAGTATGCCTGACAGTAACGCATGTGCCCAGGTCCCTTGATCACCACAGGCGCCTTCCAGCTGTGGGCCGGCAAGGTGGGACCGGGTCTCACTTAGTGGGGACTGTCTTTTCCACGTGATGACATTGGGGCTGCATACCACACCCCCCTGGGAAGGGAAAAACACGCCTAGGAGGATGACTCACACACACGCGCCCGTGGAAAATCTCTGGGGCCTTCCTTCATCTAGCCTGGCAGCGCCAACTCCTCCTGCCCGAGTAGGAACGTGCGTAGCTTCTCTTACCTGCTTTGCACAAAGCCGGCCGTTCTTGGTCCTCAGCTACCAACAGCGTGGGAGCACAGCGCCGACTTAAACACACTGGATCTGAAACATCCCTCTGAAACTTGAGTTACCAGGCGAGTCAGCAAGCTGTTATCCCCTCTCAAGAGGCACTTTCTATATTTGGATTAAAAAAGACCAAAATTCCACTCCAGCTCGAAAAGCCAATGGCTTTCAGAATGCAAGCAGGATGCAGCACTCCTCACGCTAAAACTGTCCCCACTCGTTCGAAATAAATCAGACCACACTGATGTGGGCTAACATATGTCCGCCATCACTGGTTTTCCGAAGGGAGCGGGGGTGGGGGTGAGGTGCGGTGCACAGACAGAGTTGGTCCCCCGAGCCTCTGGCTCCGAGAGCCGGCGGTGCCTAGACTCCAGTGCCCGGGTCTCAGAGAAAGGCACCACGTGCCAGAAACAGGCCCAGGCTTCATACACTCCAAAGACATCTTCGATTTTAGACAAGGACTAGATTATAATTAACAAATGCAATCAACAGGTACCACGACCACATCGAGGCACATTGCCTCCAAGAAAACTGTCTGACACTTGGAATTTTCAAGCTGCAAATGGGTGAAAGACCCTTGGTTTTATTGTCCCTGCCACATACACACAGGGCACAGAGAAGCACCCACGTCGTCTGAAACAAAAACACAAGCCACTTCATGTTTGCAAAAAAAAAAAAAAAAAGCCAAAATACAGAATCTTTGCACAAATTATTTTTAAATTAAAAAGAGAGAGACTGTCCTCTCCTGTGCATTTTTTTGGGGGGTTGCCTTTTCCAAGTGTCAGTAACCTAAATGCTCAATCACAACAAATAGCTACTTCCCTCTTTAAGATCCTGGAATTGCAACCTAGAAAGAGAGATTTTAGTTTTAACTACTAAACGGCAAAGGCTGACAGGACCCTGCTTTCCAAACCAGCGTCTCCAGACAGGGCGACACATGACTAATTTCTTTCCTCTTATCCTTCCGTCTAAGCAGAGGATTAAACTCTTTCTATCAGTCTGTTCCGTTTACAGCAGTCAGCACCAGCATCAGCTTCAGGGCCACTCCCTAATGTTTCATGGCTTTGGCTTTTTCATTGTTTCCACAAACGCCCAGTGCCTGGATTGTCAAGACACATGCCCACACCTTTGCACACGGAGCCCTCCATGCGGCTGCAACTCTGAAGGAAAATGAAGGGAAGCCCTCTCCGAAGCCACAGAGCCTAGGGGACGGCGCAGCGCCGAGCTGTCTGGCTTCCCAAGAGATGCAGTGAAATCACGCCGCCTGAGTCCAGCTTCTGGAAAGACACTGCCTCCGGCCAGGGCGGCTGGGTGAGCGCGTGGGCCCACTTCAGGATGCCGCGAGGCAGGTGGGCCACGGGCAGCAGGGGGTTAATGCAGGGCGGGGAGGGTGGAGGCGGCAGGGGAAGTCGGGCCGAGGCACCCAGGCTGCGCTCCGTCACCAGGGCTCTCAGCCTGCACTCGCGCAGGCCCAGGGCACTGTGACTAACCGCCTGCTATTGTACGCCTGAAGCCAGCCCTTTGTGCGTCCTCCTGGCATCTGGGAGCCCCTTCCAGCAATCCCCTGGGCCCTGGAAACCTGCAGGACATCTCGGGACCACAGGGTGAACCCAATACCCATTCTCTCCACTCAGGGGCTGCTGGAGGCCTGGCCTTCCCAGGAAGCATCCTTTTCCTGGCCCAGAGGAGCCGCCAGCAAAAAGGCTGAGAAATGAGTCTCCTCGACTCTGGGGGAGGGTCTACCAACTGGCTAGCCCCGTGGTGCTCTGCAGGGAACCCCTCCCCCTCTAGGGAACAACAACAACAACAAAAAACCTCACTGCCTAGAGTCCAACCTGACTCATAGTGACCCCCTCCTAGGTTTCCTGAGGCAGTATCACTACAGAAGTAGATTGCCCAACCTTCCTTCCCAGGAGTGGCTGGTGGGTTTGAACTGCCAGCCTTCTGGTTAGCAGTCAAGTGCTTTAGGCACTATGCCACCAGAGCTTCTCTATAAGGGACGGAGCCTTTGAAACGCAGAGTCCGGATTGAGATGTACTGAGAGCCCTCCAGACTTTAGACTTAGCACCAAAAAATTGTACAATTTGGTGTTGATAACGTCATCAGTTACACATTGGAGTGACACTACTTCGAACATATATGACAGTCAATAAGACAGGTGATTGGAATTCATGTCTCCTTCTTTTTACACTTTCTGAACGTGGCCGCTGACTGACGGACGTGGCGTGCTTTCGCAGCTCACGCTATGTGTTTACTGGTTAGCGCTGGATACACGGCGCTGGGACAGACCTGCGGCTGGCTTCCTCCCAGGGAGAAAATGGCTGCAAGGCGAGGCTGGTGTCTCCCTGCCCAGTAGGAACCCTCACCCAAGCGCCAGGAACACAGGGCTCTCCGCTCCACACTGTCACCTGACCTCAGCCTTGTGTCCACCTGCGCGGAATTGAGACTCAGACACTTGGTGTCTGGGATTGCAGCCTTTCACACACATGTGCACACACGTGCACACATGCACACACGTGGGGCCCTGGTCCCTGTCCACAGCAGGCCATGTCAGCCTTTCCCCACTGGGCTTGGTAGATGCCAAGTTCATGGGGTAACCAGAAGGCCCCAGAGGTCCCCCAGAGCCAGAGGTCTGGCCCTTTGTCCTGGGGCAGACAGGAGCGGCCCGCAGCCACATCAGGACTAGTCTGGATTCAGGGCACTTCTGCCTTCATGGTGCCTCTCCATACAAAATAAGAAATCATGATACTTAATGTAATCATCTAACAATTACACTTTTAATAAAATTACAATTATATGTCAATATAATTTTTGGTATAAAAACAATTTGGTCCAAAGATGATTATAATCCAGGCTGAATTCATGATTATTTATCATCATACTCATTTTTCCTTCTGGTTTTATAATAAATTAAAATGAAATTGTTCTCATGGCCCTAGGCACCATGCCTGCTGGGCAGTGGGCCCCAGGGTCCCTCTGAACATCTCCGGCTCCCCGCAGCCTTCCCTGCCTCCTGCCCGCTCATTCGAGGCTCACCAGTGACATCCAGCTACCAGATGACCCCCTCCAGTCCACTCCTGCGTCCTGCCCATGTGTGACGCCCACTAACACCCGAAAACACCCCACATTCTTTATAAAACACAATCAGGGACGTGACCCCGGACGTCCAAAGGCTCCAGGGCAGCCAGACCCACGGCCTCTTGGCACAGAGCTGGGGTCCCCCGCCGGGGACTGGCACCCTATTCAGCACCCAGCTCAACCCGCTATCCACACGATGACCATGTGCGTGGTCGTGGTTACTACCCGGGCTGGGAACCCCCGGCTCTGCCAGCTGGAGCTGCCGGCCGGCTCTGGCCCGGGTGCCCGAAGCCTGGCTCCCCAGCCTGGCCCAGGAAGGCCGCGGGCCCCTCCCGGCGCGCCACCCCGCAGGCGCAGGCCCCCGCGGCGCAGAGGACCCGCGAGGGAGACAGTTAACATTCTGCATCCTTTTTGCATACGCCGCCAGAGGAAGCGCTGTTTTTTTTTTTCCCCCTAAGCAAGAGGGGGGGAAAAAAAGCTGAGAGGAGGCAACGTGCAGGCCTCGGGGTGTTGTTTTCCTTGACAGCTCCGCCGTCTGGACGGCGCTGCGACCCCTCCTCGGCCCGGCTACGGCCCGCACCCGCCGGTCCCTCCTCTCACGCGCTCCCAGGCCGCGGCCTGGCGCGGGACCCCCGCGCAGACAGCCATCCCCAGCGCCTGGCCGGGCCGCCTGGCACTGCCCGCCTTTGTGCCCGCCCCCCGCCAGCCCCAGCCCTCCTCCCCGCAGGCCTGCCCCTCGGCCAGCGAGCGCCCACCCTGCGCCCATCCGGCTGCCCTCACCTCCCAGGCCCCTGGCCTCCCGGCTTCGGGTCCTGCTCGCGCCCAGGGCGCCTGGCCACGTCCTCGGCGCCTCTGCCGCGCGCCCCACCCTGCCGCCCGCGCTCGGCAGCGAGCCTGGCACGGTGCCAGGCTGCCTGGGAGCCCAGCCCTGGCGGGGAGAACTTTCCGGCGACGGGGTGTGTGTGTGTGCGGGGGTGGGCTGCAGGGGTGAGGGTGGTGCCAGGGGAGGGACAGGGCCCCAGATGCCCAGCAGCCGCCCCCGGCCGGCCCGCGGGGGGCCTCCCCCTGCCTCCCCGTCTCCTGGGCCCCATAAAGGCGCAGACAAACAGCAGTTTAGTGAAAACAGGCATGTGCAGGAGCCGGCAAACCAACAAAAGCCCGTATTTATTTATTTAGTTCACACACCCAGATAAGGAGCAGACTTTGTGCACATACTCAGACGCACATCAGAAGAAAAGGGGATGCCACGGTGCCCCGCAGCCCCAGAGCCCTGGACAGCCAGCCGGGCCTGGGGAATAATTGCATCGCTGGCCTGAGTATTTCCATATTTAAATTGGGCAGCAGCGTATGATTAATTAAGAAGGAAAAAGGCAAAAAGGAAGAAAAGGGGTGGGGGCGGGGAGCCGGACATTCTGGGCAACACGTTGTGCCAAGGTGCCCGCTGCAGCTTAACTCCTACCATGCCAGGCCAGGCTGCTTGGGGCATGCTGCCGCTGGCAGACTGGGGAGCAGGGTGACCCTGGGCCACACGCAGCACTGACTTTGGGGCACCCCCCTCACCCCCCTCTGTGGACCCAGTGCCACTCAACTGAAAAATGCTGCCCCCCAAAGGTTCCCTTCCTTCCTTTTTTATTCAAAGCAACCTATCAGTGCACAGGCCAGAGCCAGAGTGTGCTGCACAGTGCTGGGCAGCGATGCCCCGGGGTCCCCTGGGGCGCCTGTCTGGGAAGAGCTGCTGCCATTTCCAGCCAGGACAGAGGGTCTTCTAACACATACCTGCCCCAGACCCACGGGCAAGCCCCAGCACCGCTCGTGCACACTCATGCAAGCCCGAGGGCCCTCCCTTCCTGAGAATGGGGACAGGGCAGGAAGGCCTGAGCCCTCCAGAGAAGATCCAAGGAGTATGTGGCGGTGGGGGGGGGGGGAACTGTGCTCCCAGAGGTGCTATGCCGCCCTTGACGGGGATCCAGCCATCACCAACGCTCAGCCCTGCTCACTGCTTGCCCGTGGCCTTGGACAAGGGATGGAGCTCCTGTGAACCTCAGTTTGCCCACCTGGGAAACGGACCTGATAACCAGGCCCACTGTGCCTGCTCCCTGGGGAAGGAGGAAGAGCTGCTTCTGAACCAGCAGCCGAGCACACAGTGGGCCAAAGTTGGAGCCAGTGGGGTTGCAGGGGGAAATCCACATAAATCCAGGACATTCCAGCTCATGGCCTGCTGCGGCCCTGGGACCAGACCGGAAACCAAACTCACTGGCATCAAGTCGATTCTGACTCATAGCAACCCCCATTGGATTTCCAAGGCTTAAATCTTTATGGAAGCAGACCGGTTCATCTTTCTTCCATAGAGTGGCTGGTGGGTGTAAGCCACTGACCTCTTAGCAGCCAAATGCCTTAACCACTACACCACCAGAGCTCCTTAAGACCCTGGAATGTGGTCAGCAATTTGCTGAGGAAATTGAATCCTTACGCCCAGGAGTGTACTAGGGGCTACCAGGGCTGCCCTGGCCATGAGGGGCCCATTTGTTCTTGGTTGATTCAGGGGTGTGTGGAGGTGGGAGGGCTCTGGGGCAGGGGTCCTCTGAGGTTTCAGTAAATTATTATCACCCCATTTTACAGATAGGGAAAGCCAGGCAAAGAGGTTAGCAATGTGCCCAGCAGTACCCCAAAGTAGGGGAGCCAGGATTTGAACTCAGAACAGCCTGGCTCCAAACCGCAGGCCTTAACTGCTGTACTGTGCAGTAGACTGGGCCCTGTTTGGGGTGAGAACTCAAGTGGGGGAGATACTTTCCAGAGACAAACCACCCTTCAGATCCAAAACCGGGGCCCAGCAACTCTGCAATGTGAAGTACACCTATGTGGGGGGACCCACAGGTGGGGAGGACTGCAGGTGAGGAACCCACAGGACAGGTACACACAGGAAGAAGGCCACAGGTGGGGGACTCACAGGTGCGAGGACCTGTGTGGGTGGGGTGCCCACAGAAAGGATCCTGCAAAAAGAGGGGTCTTTGGGCAGGAGTTTCTGTAGGTGGTGGCGGGGGCTATAGGAGGAGGCCCCAAATTTAGAGAGGCCTGCAGGAGGGTAGGGCAGATGAAGCTCAGAGGAAAAGAATCTCTTCCAGTTAGCTGTGTGTCTTTAGGAAAGTTAATTACCCTCTCTGGGCCAGTTTCTCCAGCTTTACCTCTCAGCACACTCACCATTGCCTGTGGGTCTCCCTCACGCTCGTTCTTGTCGCCAATCCTTTGTGGACAATGTGCTGCCCCGTGGTGAGCCCAGCTTTCTATCTGCAGGTCGGGGCAATGGATCTTAACCTCCCACAGGGCATAGAAGATTAACAGCGAGTGTCTGCAAAGTGGCGGCTACCCTGTAGAATTTGCTCCATAAGTGCTGGTTCTCTCCCTCCCATCCTCCTCCATGTATGGCTGGGGACAGAGTCCTCAGACTGCATGTCCCTCCAGAAGCTTCCGCCACACAGGGTGGTACAGTTATAGGGCAGGGGGATGGGGTGGGAGTCTATAGGAAGAGACGGGCCTGGCCTGGGATCCTGGATAAGGCCTCTGTGTTGTCTGTTTCCCCTAAACCCACCTAGTAGTGACCTTGGGCCCATCTGAGACCCCAGGCTCAGAGCGGGGAGGAGAAGGAAGGGCCAGGAGTCTGTCCAGGTCAGACAAGTGTTGGAGCCTCAGCCGCCCCGCCATCACTGTGGTTGGCACAATAATGGCCCCAGAGATGTTCACATGCGAGTCCCTGGAACCTGTGGACGTGTAACCTCATGTGGCCACAGGGACCTTGCAGATGTGATTAGGGTTGCAGAACTTGAGATGGGGGACCCAGGTCGGGCCCAATTCAATTTCATGTGTCCTTAACGGCAGAGAACCTTTCTTGGCTGGATGAGGGAGATGAGACAGAAAGGAGAGAGAGCTGACGGGTGAGAGAGACTTGACCAGCCATCGCCGGCTTTACAGCTGGAGGAAGGGGCCGCAACCCAGGGAGTGCGGGCACCTCTAGAAGCTGGACAAGGCAAGGAAACAGATTCTTCCCTGGAGCCTCTGGAAGGAACCAGCCCTGTGACACCTTGGTGTTAGCCCAGTGGGGCCGGTGTGGGAGTTCTGACCTCCAGGGCAGCAAGATGACAGATTTGTGCAGTTTAGGTCACTAACTGTGGTCATTTGTTATGGCAGCAATAGAAGACTCCCCCTGGCAACACACCAAGAGGCCTCCTAAGGAGAAGGACTCTGTGGGACCCTGCCTGGGACCACGGGCGCTCCACCCACCCACGCTGCTCACCTGCTGTGGGCAGAGCAGGGCGGGCAGACCGCACCCCTGCCCTCAGAGCCCTTCCTCCCCCCAGGGCGCTCCTACCTCACCTCCTGGCTGCTGCTCCTCTCTTCCTCCTCTTCTCCCTCCTCCCCCTCCTCCTCCTCCCCTTCTTCCTTCACCTCTTCTTCCTTCTCCTTGTCCCCCTTCCCCTCACCACGACTTCTTGAGGGCTGCCCATGGGTGGGCACCAGGCTCAGTGGTTAAGGTAGCCTATATTGCCACACACGGAACCCCAGATCCTGTCCACACTTTGGTAGGACGAGAGTCCCTTTTCTGCTTCATGATCCTCAATGTGTTCTTAAAATAAGGGAGACAGGACCTTCAGTGGTCAGCTAGGAAGCTCTGCCACTTAGTAGCCATGTGACCTCAGCACAAAAGCTGTCTCTTTCTGAGCCCCGGGGTCCTTGTCTGTAAGGTGGACGGATCGCCTCACAGGGTTGCTGCAAACACACGCATCCCAGTGCTGGACACACAGTAAGCACTCAGTACTGTGGCTTCAAGAGCCGGCTTACCCTGCCCAGTGGAGTCGGCTGCGGAGTGGCTTGTGTTTCTCCTTAAAAATAAAAGTCAGATGCCTGGGCTGTCTCGTCAGTACCGTCGCTGCACAGGGGCTGGGGGCTGAGCCGCTGGGTGAGGTGGGATTTTCAGGACAATCCCAGGAGGCTTCTGGGACCAAAGAGTTGTCCCCTAACGGCCTGACTGCAATTCTCTGCATTAGCCTTGTCTGGCTCCCTCGGGAAATAATCAGTGATGCACGTGGAAATGTCCACTGTGGTGGAGTTTATAACAGGCAAAGCCGGAAGTAAGCCAAGTGTCCAATGATAAGGGGTTGCTCAAGAAAGTCGATCCAAAGCAGCAGTAAATAGTCATTGAAAATCAATGTGTAGAATAACATTTTCAGAGTTAGGGAAAGGGTTATGATGAAAATGTTTAGTGAGGCAAGCAGTAGGTAACGATACATGTAATAAGATGCTAAGAGGCTTTGCTGTGGTTGTCAGGGGCCACTGAGCCGGCTCCAACTCACAGTGGCCCTGTGCACATCAGAATGAAACAACTCAGTCCACACCATCCTCAGACGTTGTTGTGTTTGAGCGCTGGCCCTCCGCTTTGCCAAGCATGCTGTCCTCCTCCAGGGGCTGGCCCCTACGGACAACACGGCCAAAGAATATGGGCTGAACTCTCACCATCCCCACTTCCACGGGGCATCCCGGCTGCACTTCCTCCAGGACAGATTTGTTCGTTCTTCTGGCAGTCACGGTATACTCAATATTCTTTGCCAGCGCCATAATTCAAAGGCGTCAAGTCTTTGATCTTCCTTACTCACTGTCCAGCTCTCCCAAGCACATGGGGCTATTGAACATACCATGGCTGGGGTCACGTGCACCTTAGTCCACATCTTTGCTTTTTAACACTTAAAAAGGTTTTTTCTTTTTTTTTTTTTTTCCCCAACAGATTTTCCCAGTGCAATATGACATCTGATTTCTTGACTGCTACCTCCATGGGCATTGATTGTGGATCTAAGTAAAATGAAGTCTTTGACAACTTCAATCTTTTCTCTATGTATTGTGATGTTGCTCATTGGTCCAGTTGTGAGGATTTTTGTTTTCTTTATACTGAGGTGTAATCCGTACTGAAGTCTGTAGTCTTTGATCTTCATCAATAAGTGCTTCAAGTCATCTTCACTTTCAGCAAGCAAGGTTGTGTCGTCTGTGTGTCACAGGTTGGTAATCCTCCATTCTTGGTGCTGCATTCTTCTTCATATAGTCTATCTTCTCGGATTATTTGCTCAGCGTACAGATCGAGTAAGTGTGGTGAAAGGGTACAACCCTGACATACACCCTTCCTGATTTTAAACCATGCAGCACCCCCTTGTTCTGTTCAAAAGACTACCTCTTGGTCTGTGTACAGGTTCCTAGTGAGCACAATGAAATGTTCTGGAATTCCTGTTCTTTGCAATGTTATCCATAATTTGTTATGATCCACATGGTCGAATGTCTTTGCATAGTCGATAAAACAGGTAAACATCTTTCTGGTATTCTCTGCTTTCAGTCAAGATCCATCTGACATCAGCAATGACATCCCTTGTTCCATGTCCTCTTCTGAATCCAGCTTGAATTTCTGGCTAAGATGTTATTCTGTTTACAGTTGTATGTTTTCACAGAGTCTGGGTAATGTATGCACTATAACATTCCCCTGGGCTATCTGAGGAAGGTTTCTAAAGTGGCTGAAGTGTTTTATCTTCCTTTTTGAGAACTCAAACTGTAAAATTAACATGGAACATTAATGAGAGGACAAAGTTGAGGATGTAACTGGCAGAGGAGAGGGACACACTCTTTCTAGGAACCCACCTGCTTCTGGAACTCTGCTACCCCTCAAAGATCGGTACATCCTCACCCAATACATAGCATGTATCTGGTTCTCCTCAGAGACACCTGCTTGTTAGGAAGGGGTGAGGTCCCCCGAGGACAGAGCCCCAGTCCTGGCATCGCTAAAGGGATCGTCAGCAAGAAGGCGGAAAAGATATACGTGAGCACTAGCGGGTTTTTTCTGGAGACTGAAATCAATACCTCACTGAGCATTTTTAGACTTTTTTTTGAGGGAGGTGTTTTCCCATGAAAGCAGATGGCTCCGGCTTTGCCTGGAGACCCATCTAATGCCTGCCCCCACCTGTCAAGGAGCAAGGATACCTGGGAGGTATCCAGTTTCTGCAGCAATGCCACCAGGGAGGTGGTGAGCTGCCCATCTCTGGGGCATTCAAGAAAGACTGCACAGCCAGGGCGCTATGCTCTGGGGGAGGCTGGCCTGGGCTTGGGGCCCCCAGCAGCTTCTTGAGGGCAGGCTCTCCATTGGGATCCCAGTGCTCAGCACGGGGTCAGGCACAAGGGAGGGGCTCGGTGATGGCTTGCTTTAGGTGGTGGGTGGCAAGTAGCTGAGACAAGATCAGAGAGGGGCCTACATGGCGCTTCAGAGACAGGTGCCTCTTGACAGGGTCCAGGAGCCACCATGGGCCTGGACTGCAGTCGAATGGCAGCAGCTCACATGAACCGGCATCCCTTGGTGGCCCAAACACCAAGGTTTGTTGGTTCACCAAGGTTCAAGGTGGTGGACATGCTCACTGCTAACCAGAATGGACATTCAAGTCCTCCAGCGGCGCCTTGGAAGGAAGGCCTGGCAATCTGCTTCTGAAGAACCAGCCTTGGAAAACCCTCTGGAGCACAGCTGTCCCCTGACACACACGGGTCCCCGGAAGGCAGAGTCAGCTTGACTACAGCTGGCCTTGGTTAGTGGTATCGAGTGCCTGCTGTGTGCAAATGCTACACTCAGTGCTCACAAGGTGACCTGCTCAAATTCCCCAACCACACTGTAGATCGGGACTGTTAGGGGGAGAGACTGAGGCTTGAAAAGGTGGAGTTACTCACCCAGCCACGCCTTCAGCAGAAGGGAGTGTGTGTGTATGCGTGAGGGGGTCTGAACCCCGGCCTTTATAGTATGAGGGTATACCAGGCTTCCAGAATGGCTCCACACCTGGGACAGTAGGAGAGTTCAAGGTAGGGTTCACGTCCTCATCCTGCCATTACACACGGAGCCTAAAGAGCAGAGATTCTACTTCTGATCAGCTCAGACAAGCAGATCTGGTCTTAAGAGGTCTGCAGGCTTGAACTGCCTGGAACACTCACCCCTGGGGAAGCTGCCACCAGCCATGGAGCTGGGAAACCGAGGCACAAACTCCTCCCTGTGGCTCAGTTCTTAGGGCTGTCTTTTCAAGGCTGCCGGGGCCCAGACTCACTAAGAGACCCCTGGCCTTTATAATACCAGCTCGTGCGTACTTGGGGTTACAACCTGATGGGAGTGGGGCTGGGGACACGGGCAGGCTCACCCATTGGACAGAGGTGTCTGATCTCTGTGATCCACCAGCAAATCTAGATTTCCTTCTTCTGCCTGTCAGAAGCACTGCCAGCCCCAGGCCTGTCCTTCACGGTGGCACCTGGGAACTAGGGTGTGTTCATAGGGCACCCGTCCCCCACACTCCTCTGAACCTCTCTGGCCTGCCTGCCCTGGTTAATGCGGTTTAAGAGCCCTGCTGTCCTCAGGGTACACAGAGGCCTGCTTGTCGGCTACCCCAGGGGCTGCTCACTGAGAGGGACTTGGGGTCAGGTGTCCTGAGGGTGGGGGTGACCTCTGTCAGGAGCAAGGCCAGCCCCAGGTGGTACCTGATGTGGTCTGCAGGCTGGGCATCGGTCAAGCCAGAAGACTCACTCGGAGACTGGCAGAAGCCTGGCCTCGGCGAGGGGCAGGGCTCCGAGCACTTCTGGGGCTCTGCCGCTGCCCAGGAGAGGCTGCCCCACTGTGTGCGCTCCGGGAGTCCAGCCACTCAGAGGCAGGAGATGACAAAGGCCAGCTGTGGGCAGCTGTGGGCAGAGGCAGCTCCCCGGGGACCAGGCCCCCGGGGCTGGGCCCTCCTCCTCCGCAGCTGCCCACAGCTGCCCTGCTGTGTCTCCACAGGCCCGTCATCCTCACTTGGCACCACGGCCACCTCGGCAGGCTGCCGCAGCTGGGTGGTGCAGAAGTCCAACCCAGGAACGGTCGGTCGCTCAGGATGGCCACCGGGCAGCCATGAGAGGTGGATGGGGCGCCCACCCCCAGCCTTGGGACAGTGCTCGGGTTGCAGTGGGCCAGGGGCACCTGTGCAGATGGGGCTACCTCTCCCGGGCGCTTGGAGGTCCCTCCTCAACCTGGTCTGGCCTGGGCCTCAGTGGGGGTTAACACCTGGGAGCCTTTGGCACCACGCCCCCTCCTCGTCCCTCCAGCGGGGGAAGGGCAAGAACGAATGAAGTGTTTTCTCTACCCTTAAAGGGCTGGGGTGGTTGTCACAAGGGCAGCAGCCCGGGGTGGTGTGTGTGTGTGTGTGAGAGAGAGAGAGAGAGAGAGAGAAGTACCAGGAAGATTCCCATGGGGACCCACTCTGATGGCAGAACCTTCCTGCCATCCCCAGGGCACTTCCCAGGCAGCCCGGCTGCTGCAGGATGGAGGCGGGTGGCCAGCGGCGGCCTTTTACCAGCTCCAGCTCGTTAATCCTGAGTGCTCCTGGGAGCTGGGAGTCAAGTTCATGTCCCCAAGGGCCGGGAAGCAGCAGGGGGCCGAGGGGCCGCTGTCCCCCAGCCTCCAGCCCCAACTTTCTGCATAATTGTCCACGCTGGAAGTTTCAGGACTTCTAGGACACCGGGCTCAGTCTCAGCAATGATGTCTGAGTTTGGCAACCAAGAGGGAAAAGAGGGTGAGCTGTGGAGGAGGAGGAGGAGAGAGAAGAACGGGAGGGCCTGGAAATCTCAGACTCTGGGGTCCCCTTGCAGGGTTTGCTCCTTTCTTTCCTTCTTAAAACCCAGCAAGTCCCAGACCCTCTCTGATGAGCCCTCCCCAGGGCTCGGTCCCATTCTTAGCACCTAGATGCTTACAACTCATTCTGAAAGACCTGGGTGCAGTTTTGTTTTGTTTTGTTTTGTTTTACAGGAGGAGGTGGATACAAGGCAGTTCCTGAAAGATGGTCCACACCCACACCATGTCCTGTCCCAGTGTAGCAGGGGGCAAGGCCTTGTCTTGTCCCCCTGCACACAGGCTTAGGTAATCCCTGCAGCATGTGGCCACCAGCCGGGGTTCCTGGTGTTCAGAGGGCCTGGGACACCTAGGCCCACTCTGCTTCTGCCCACAGGCTTCACAGGAGGGAGAGGAGTTTGCGGGACTCAGGACCCCTTTCTCTCCCCCTGGGGGATGCTTAGCGGGTAGGAGGCCCAGAGGGCCCACTGCTCCCGCCCCCCCCCCAGAAGCCCTGGCGGCTGGTGACCATGCTCTGCCCTCTCCTCTCTGCCCAATGGGACCCTCCCAGGGCAGGCCCTGAGGACACGTCTGGGGGGAGGGAGGCAGCTGAGGGGCTGGGGCCCGGCAGCTGCTGGAGAACCTGAGCCCCGCTCTTCCCCCAGGCTGCAGGGAAGATGCTGTGCGCGGCCTGTGTTGTCCATTTGCCCACCCTCCCTGCCCTGCAAGGGATGTTTCTGGAGTAAACACGGTACCAGGCCCACTCCTCCAGAACACCATTTTCAGGCTGGGAAGATTGGGGTTGTTTGTTTGTTTTGATTTTCGTTTGTTAAAGAAAAATGGGCACGGAGCCCTGGAGGCCAGGGTGAAGGTCAATGGCAGGAACACTTTGTCTCATTGTCCCCTGTCCCTGGCACAGCTGAGCGCCACTCTCCTAAATGGGTATTTGACCTTCAAATACTTCTCAGGCGTCATCTTTCTGGAGTCGGGCCTGGGCGCCTGCACATCATTTGTGGGAGAAGCCACAGCCACTGGAGTGCCCTGGGGCCACCCATCCACCTACAGACGGTTCCGGAACCTGACAGGGGGCTGGGGACACAGGTGGCAATGGGCAGGCTGTGCCAAACCAAACCAGCTGCAAAATAAATAAATAAATATTTAAAAAACAAACGAACAGTTGCTTTGGGGTCCATTCTGTACATGGAGACCCCATGTGTGCAAAGGCAAACGGTACTCCGTAAGGTTTGTAAGGCTGTGACTTTTGGAGGCCAATCACCAGGTTCTTCTTCTGAGTGCCTTTAGGGGGTTTCGAACAGTCAACCTTTTCCTTAGTAGTTGAGTGCTCAACCAATGGGACTCCTTCAGTGGCCACAGTGGGCCTCATGGAGGGGAAAATTTACCTGCCAATAAAGCCGAAGACCCTCTCCCCAGAGGGAGGGAAACAAAATTTCTCATTGAGTTTCACAGTGGCAAGCATGGTATCTATTTTCCTTATTTCTCCCGAAGGCTGGACCCAGGGGATGTGTGCTCTGTGGCTAAACCACCAAGGCTTCACTGAGGCGCAGTGCCAGGGTCCTTGCCATTTCAAGAGACTGCACCATGTCCCTCATTCTGAATAAAACTCCTGGGCAGAGGCCTGGCCGTTTCCGGGAGGGATAGAGCTGTTGCCAGGGGCCGTCCTCACCGCCAGGGGCCATCTGCACCAGGGCTCTACCCTTCAGCTGCTAAAGTCTTGGGTTCTCGTGTTCTCGGGGCTGGAAAGTGCACTTCTCTTGAAGCTTGAACCTGTCTGCCCCCCTGAGGCAATCACTGATGGTCAGTTTGTCCCCAGGATGGTCACCTAGCTCAGACACGAAGCTGAGGCTGGCTTCACGGCTGGGTGGATAGTATCCTAAGGAAAAACAAAGACAAAAACTATGATTTTTGTATTTCTTCTACTAAGTGCTTCTTAAAGAAATAATTCCAAATTCTATGAGAATAAGGTGAAAATATTTTAATCGAGGGTCACTGAAGTAGGAAACCCGTTCCCCTCTCGGGAGCAGGCAGACTTGAAACTCACCTGGTGCTGAGCTTCAGAACCGAGCTGCTCAGGCGCCACTGAGGCCCCCCAGCTCTGCCAGCCACGTGGACACTGTGTGCCACCTCAGGGCACGGGGTCCCTCATGTGCAGCATGGAGAACACCCAGCTCTGAGTGTTCTGTGAAACCGGGACGGTGGCAGGGATTGGCGGCGGACGTGGCTTTGATTGTCAGAGTGACCATGTGGGCTGCAGGCTCTGAGACGGCGTGTGAATATCTAATGTCCCTGCACTTTCTCTCTTCTCGTTATAAAAGGGATACACACCGATACAGGAAGGAGGAGCGTACAGAAGAGAAAGAGAGAGAGGAAGGAAGAGAGAGGCAGGAAGAGGAAGTGAAAGAACGGGAGACTCCCAGCTCCTTTCCTCCAAAGCCCTGGGCCAGCTCCGTCTCAATGCACTTCCTCGCAGTATATAAAGAAAGAAATGCACAGGAACATGATTCTTTAGAAACATTTGTTTCTCCATCTCTGATGTTTTGCCCTGGAACACTGGGAGGCCTCACCGGGAAACCTGAATGGGGCCACTGGCCTCGCATATCATGGAATAATTCTGAGCTGAACATGCCTCCGACGCAGCCCTGCATGGGGGCATGAATCCACAGCCCGGGAGCTGCCCGTTCCTGAGAGCCATCAACGGTGACATTTGCAGGCACAGAGCGAGGAGTGAGAACAACGCTCCATGACACAGTGTCCTTAACCCGCGGCGGCCTCACCCTTCCCATTTGTGCCTGGGTTAAAAACATGGGGGTTTTTTGTTGTTTTTTTACAATTTTCAGGCTTTCTTTTTCATCCCCAGAGTCTGCTGTCACGGAAGGCGAGACATGCGAGTGTTCAGCGCCCCCCGCCCCCAACACCTTTGGGGGGCCGGTGGGAAGAAGCAGGGCAGAGGGTGACAGGGTCCCAGCAGCCCCAGCCCAGAAGCCTGTCTCAGAGACGCTCACGGTGAACCTTTAAACGACAGTCACCAAACACGCTGTCGATTTCACTCCAGAACCTGGAGCAGAGAAACCAGCTATCAGAGATGGGGGAACACAGCCCCTCACCCCAAACCCACACTGTCCTGATCCACTTAGGAGCCCGGCCAGAGAAGAGACATTCGAAGATAGAAAGAATCCAGGCAGGGGGTACACTCTGAGCTCCGCCAGCCACCACCAGTGACTCTGCGCAAGTCACTCTGCCACTTCATGCCTCAGTTTCCCCAAACGTGGAGGGGGACTAGTGATCAGTAACCCCTGCCTCGTAGGCAGGAGCTCAGCTGCAGTGGTCAGCTCCTAACCTTCTCACCCAGGAGGGCCGTTCCGGCGGGGAGAGTGGCCCAGGACAGAGAGCAGCAGACCCTCTGGGACCCTCACGGGAGCACCATGATGGGAGGGGTGAATTTGGGGACACCCTGAGGATGGGGCTCCACTAGGCAGCTGCTCCCCACCAACTCCAGAGGTTCAGCCGTGCCCGGTGGGCGTGCAGCCTTCAGGAACCCAGCACAGATAGCAGAGGAAGAACCAGGCAAGGGAGCCCACCCCCATCACCCACCACTGCCTGCCCAGCGACGCTCCCTGTCGCCGGACCCGGGAGGCCTGTCCACCGGAGCCCCACGTCCTGGCCTGCTACCGCTGGGGAGAAGAGAAAAAGCATGTTTGCATTCCTTTAATTTGTATATAAAAGAAAAGGGTTCATTACAAAGAAATTGGAAATCAAGAAAAGCACAAAACACAAAACAAAAATTACCAGGGAGATAATTACTGGGTGTTTTATTGAAAGGCCTTGTGGTCTGGTTTTCAAACCATGTATGTAATATGTGTGTATGTGTGTGTGTGTGCGCGCACATGAGCGCATATACGTATAATCAAGGAGCCCTGGTGGCACTGCGGTTAAAACACTCGGCTGTGGTGGTTTGAACCCACCAGTTCCTCCACGGGAGAAAGATGAGGCAGTCTACTTCCATAAAAATTACAGCCTTGGAAACCCTCTGGGGCAGTTCTACTCTGTCTATAGGACAGAGTTGCTAGGAGTCAGAATTGACTTGAAGGCAAAGGGTTTTATATGTATTTATATATATACACACACATACACATACATTTAAAAATTAAATTGGATCACTTTATAATTGTTCTGATTACAGACAGTTTATGTCATTAAATACTACTACTCTATACCAGTGTATATCCAAGGCAGTATCACTATGGAAGTAGATTGCACAACCTTCCTTCTGGGGAGTGGCTGG